AAAAAAAAACTACTCAGTAGGCTATGGGATGCCGTGCCGAAGTGAGAGAAGCTATTCTGAACAAGGGATCAACAGATGTTTTCAGAGATTAAATTAAATTTAATTAAATGAAACTACTTTCAGATTCAATGAAACTTTATTTAAATTAAATGAAACTTCCTTTTAAGAATGTTTCATTTAATTTGAAAAAAAGGTTTCATTTATTTCGAATGAAGTTTCATTGAATCTGAAAAAGCTCTAATTTAATTTGAAAAAGGTTTCGCTTTATCTGAAAAAGGTTTCATTTAATTTGAAAAGGGTTCCACTTAATTTGAAAATGGTTTAATTTAAACTGAAAATGCTATATATTGCGCCACGTGGCCATCGACAAAAGCCCAAAAAGTGTACTATTGCTCACCAAAGAGCCAGCAATATTCTTTAAAATTGCCCCCGCCCCGATTCGAGAAACTGAGATTGAAAAGGTTTGCGGTTAATTGAACCTAGATGTCGAGGTTTCTACTTTTCGAAAAACTTTTCTTCATCGAATTACAATTACTTTTTGTTTTTTAATAAGTAGTTCTAGGCTAGGTGAGGTTAGAGTGGCTGCCCCCGCGCAGAGTATGGAAAAACCCGTTGTGATACCACTAACACTATCGGCTGATTGTCAAAAAATTTCTCTTATTTATTTTATCTATTTCAAGTTCTTCCATTTCTATTATAATTTCTTCCAAATAGAACAATACTCTACTACTCTACTCTACTTATAAAATACATGTCATAAAACAGTGGGTCCCCGATACCAACTGTAGCCTTCCAGCATTTAAATTTCCTGCAGGGTCGTAATTTTTTGTAGTCTAAAAGCAACACGTGTGTCGTGCAAGAGGCACCCCTTTCACTTGCATACATACATACGTGCATATGAAACTGCGTATGAATGTAGTCGTACAACGTGTTGGTAAATGTATCCTTTTAATGCGCTTGTCAACAAGATGAAAGGAGCCTTGTATTATCCTTTCAAAAATCGTGCACGTATATAGCTACAGTACGTTTTCGTGCCTGTTTTCCAAAGCTTAAAAGCAGCAACTTTTAATTATGTTTATTTTATGCTCACCCTTATGTGTCCTTTATCACTCTTTGCATGCTCCAATACAAGTCCCAAGACACCCACTGGCGTGTTATTGGCATGCAACGCCTGTTCGGTGACAATCCAAGCATGACCGGCCTCGGTCATATTATAGAGTGCAGCGTCACGGAAAATAACCTGTGCATCCTCGGTGCTGAACGTAAGAAATTGAATGGGTAAATAATGGCATTAAAAAGAAGAAAGGAAGTGGAAAAAAATTCACTGTCAGCACTTTTTTATATATAATTTTTTTTTTTTGAATTCTCCACCTATGTCCTTTCCATGCACTGTAACATACATATTTACCTCGCATACAGCAGATAGACACGCGATTGTGCAGTCTTCATGTCAATCAAATGCTCTGTGAAGCTGTCCAGTTTCGGCTCGAATTCCACAATCATTTCAACGGTGGCGCGCACATCGATATCATCGTAATTTGTCTGCGAGGTGGTCTGGAAGCGACCTAATATGGCACGCCCATCCGTATCGGAACTGTGTATTATAATCACCTGACATCCGAATGAAAACAAAAACAAAAGCAATAACACATATGCCAAGCTAGTTCAATATTGAGTTGTGAGTTGTCCATTTTCGTTCACCTTGGTGTAACCGAAGTGAAACATAATTTCCAGCCAGACGTCCGCTTGATGGTAATATGGCGGCACGGTGCGCAAAAAGGAAACGTGTATATTCTTGTCGGAAAAGGCAGCATCGCGCGAAGATATACCAATAACTGGTATCTGGTAGAAGCCACTTGTATAGCTGACAGCGGCCGGCGATAAATCACCAGAGGTTTGTTCGTGCGATACAACAACAGCATAGACCTGTAAAGCAAAAAAAGGTGGAAACGGTATTAACGATATATATAGTATTTGTCCAGCCAGTCGATGAAGTGTACCATACGCTGAAAGTGGGAAAAACTAGATCCTGCAGATAAATGCTGGACTTTTTTTTTTAATATTCCTTAATTAAAGTGAAACATTTTAGGGTACTAAAATAAACATATATATATGAGCGTCCTTGGACCATGATTCAATAATAAATGGTTTGCTCAAAAAAACAGTTTTCTCGTTCCCTACCCACCAAGCAAAACATGAGAAATAGGCAACAATCGTCAATGGCAACCAATTGGCGACTCGTCGATTTATTGCCATGGTGACAAATCGGCAACAACATTTCTTTCATGTAATTTTAGTAATATGTTTTCAATAAAAATCAAACTGATGAATTTTGCATCAACAGTATTCTGCAAAAACATGTAATGTATGCCAAAGATAAGATTAACAAAATGAGAAGCGCCTTATGTAGCGGAGGAAACAAATAATTTCGTTTTTAAATTGTAATTTTTTAATCAGAAATAAATTAAATATTAAATAAGAAAAAATTTTCCAAACATTGCCTATAGCAATAATAAAGTGATAAGAAAACAGCTCATTCAGGTAATAAGAAAATGACTCGATCAGGCGAGTTGCCTTCGGCGGACGTTTTAGAGCGACTGATAATAAGAAATCGATACGATGGCGATAAAGTTGTTGCCGAGGGCGACATGTTTTCTTATTTCCGGCAACAAAAATTGTCTGGTGGGCTATTGACAAAATCGGCTCCCTTAGCAAGCCGCTGTGTGTGGGTTCGTGTGTGTGTGTGTGCTAAGCGTTTATAAGGGAGTTAAGGGAGTGTCAAAATTCTAATGTCTAATAATGAATCATGTCCTTGGACCACCCTGCATAAGTATTTATAGAAGAAAAAAGAAAAACGAAATACATGATTTTGTTGATACATTTGTCTCGCAAATACATATTTGTCAGAAGTTGTGTTAAACTTTTTAATGAAAATCAACAAATACGAGTTCCCCGACACCTTTCACGTAACACACGAAGCGCAATACCTCTGCAATGATGAGCTTCAATGCTAGTAATCAAACTTCGCCACGATTCAAGCGCCACGAACATTTTGCCATGGATGTCGCTAAAGTATGTAAAATTTTCATATTTATTTGAATTATTAAATGTGCACATATGTATGTATGTATGTATGTGCGTATATATGTTTCTTTGTTTGCAGCGAGTTTGCACCACCCTTATTACATTGCCGCAGGATCAACGTTGTTCCTATATTGAAACTTCCGCCTCCTGTCAAGCGAATGTTTACTTCATTAACTACGCGCATATCATTTTTTGTATGCTGGAAGTATCCACAACAATCGGAGCCGTATTTGCATCGCTCGCACTGCTCATGGTTGTGGCGCTTGGCTTCACTATATTAGGTGTCACAGCAGATATATTGTAAGTTTATAATGAAGAAGTTTTTGTTTTTTTTTTTTTGTTTTGTTATTCAATTAGCAGTCATTCAACGAAATACTGGAGGTGTATGTATTAAAAGTTTGCGTTGAGTATACGCAGTGGTGTCCGCAAATATGTGGATGGCATGTGTGGGAACATATTGGCCCTCACGCAAAAAAAAAGTGAACTTGAGCTCAGACTCAATTTTGCACGGCTGGTAAAGTGAGCCAAGCTCTAGAATTTGTACTGAAAATCGAGTCGTAGCTTAAGCTCACTTTTTATGCATGACGTTCATGTACCTACATATGTATTTACATACATACATGTATGCATTGGCTCGCTTGTACACAAAACTGTGTTCCATGGACTTTCAGTACTACTTCGTTTGGTGCTGCATAGTTTACGCACAAAATATGTTTTTTTTTTTTTTTTTTTATTAGTATTAACAATCCTCTAGCTTTTGTCCCGCTTTAGCTATGCTGGCGCGCATGATGCGCATGAGCGAGAACGTTGCTGGTGTGACATTGGTCGCCTTTGGCAATGGCGCACCGGACATATTCAGTAGCTTGTCTTATCTGAATAGCGATACTCGCCGCTTGTATGCGGATATTTTTGCTTCGGGCCTTTTTGTTGTGCTTGTGGTAGCTGGCGCTGTCTTCTGCACCTTCCCCTTTGCCGCTCAGCCGTACTTGCTGCTGCGTGACGCACTGTTTCTCCTACTGGACGTATGCGTCATTGACTATTTGATTAAGAAGGACAATGCTATATCGGTGATTGACAGTGCAAGTGAGTGTGTGAGTCAAATGCTTAATACATAATTAAATATCGTCGGTTGAGTGTAAGATCGCCCACCATATCTCGCCGGCTGTCGGTTCGAAAATGCTTCCTCTTTTAATCTAAATTCAATATAACGAATGCTGAGATAGGGCGCTTTCGAATCGGCAATCTTCCACTCAGCTGTCGATATATCTTTTGTTGGGTTTGTGTTGTCGAACATAATTTTTCATTTCCCCATTTAAGTCACACTATGCCTTTACTTTTGTTACTTGTTTGTGGTGCTATTTGATCAGTATTTGGTGAGGCGCGCTACCCGAAGTAAGCTAAACTAAATTTCAAATAATTTTGTATACAACTGTCTATATTTATTTACACAGTCTTGCAGGTTAGGCATACCACTCAGAGGCAAACAATGCTGGAAGGTAAGTTTTGAAATACATTATGGTGGGTCATTTTTGAAGTGAAACTTAATTCTTTAGCGGAGGTAGTGAATTAAAAATTGCTACGCAAGTTGTGTGACATTTAATAGATTTACTATAACAGGAGTTTTAAAAATATGCAAAATCTCATCACGCATGCATATATTTACAATAGTGTGATTCATAAAAAGTCGCAAAGTGGGATTTTTGGCGAAATGGCACCGCTGCCAACAAAGTTGTATGAACGACCTGTCGCAACTCCGGATTGCAAAAGTAAAATTTGAAAAAATGCCGCGCTTTAGAGAAAAAGAAAAGTTTTTATACTTATATTTCGAAGCAGCTTTAACTGATATACATATCGAGCCCTAACCGCCAAAATAACGTAAGCGACATTTTTTTCAAAATTTTCTTTTTGATGCAGAAATATTCCTAGAGCATCTAGATGCATTTCTGCATCAAAAATAAAATTTTGAAAAAAAATGTCGCTTACGTTATTTTGACGGTTAGGGCTCGATATGTACTTTTTCTTGAAGTATTGTATTGGGATGTGTTTTAATATGGCGCATATGTATGTATAATATGGCGTCTATGTATTAAAACACCCCCCGTGGGTCCGCCACTGACTGACACGTAGTTTAATCCCCAAACCCCCCCGCTCGATCCGCCCCTAACGCACATACATAGTTCTTTGTATTAGCTGATATCCATATATATATTTTTTTTTCACTCACAGATCTAATTCGACTTAATGATCTACGAAATCAGGGCGCGCTAAGACGGGAACACAATCTATCGTTTCTTGACAATGAAAGACACAGCGAAGTTGTACCTTCATCACAGTCATTAAAAAAGTTACTCTTCCGACAATTCATTCGAAGCCTTAACCCATTTAATCAAGCCGAATGGGAAGATGCCAATTGTCTGATGAAAGGATTCATCACATTACGTATGCCGATCGTACTAATTCTTACGATCCTTATTCCAATTACCGACCATGGAGAGGAATATCATGGTTGGTCGCGCCTTCTGAATTGTGTGCAGTGTTTACTTTTGCCAATATTTATTTGTTATGCTACATGTAAGTGAATTATGTATATATGTATGCATATATTTATGTATGTATGTAGCCGTAAATTTCATTGGATTTAAATTTATTTAATATACTAATCCCATATATCCGCTGGGCATAGAAATGTGAAAAATTTTAATAACAAAGGTAGGTGGTGATTAAATAATACCCATGTCATTGTTTCCACATAATATTTTTTAAATTGTAAATACTTTTTGTCAACTCTGTCGTTGAAGTGCCCAGTGGAAATTTGACATAGCATACTATACTTAAGCAATTACAAGGTGCATTCCAAAGTAAATACGGAAAACAGAGCAATGCATCTTAATGTTTTCTTCGCGGAACTCTTATTAAACACTTTTTATAAATTTAAGTTTCATTTAGGGCTATTAATAGTTTTTATTATAATTTCTTTTTTGAAAACGTTAAATCCAATTTGAGGTCATCTTTAGACGTGGCGCGCGAGGATGCTCTAAAGTAAAAAAGTTATAACGAAAAGTATTTCATATTGGTAGTGAATGACAGAGGGTTGCCACCTATTTTAAATATTAAATCCGAGAATCTCTAAAAATGGTGATGAACTCTCTGTGAATGCCGCTTATGGCTTGTCCGTACGCCATCGAGTTCAATGGTTGGGTAATGTATGTCAGCCAGAAACTGCTGACATTCAGGCATGTTCCTGAGTCGTATAGTTGCGGTTGCCCTTCGGCAGGTAATGGAAAACCTCCGAATATACTCTGCCAAGAAAAACTGCTTCGCATAAAAGTACAATCGCCGTTCGGAGTCGGCGTAAAACTTTAGGCCCCTCCTTATCAGACGACCACCTTCTTGCTTCAGTGTTATTTAATTCGATGAAGTTCTTAGCCATACTGTTCGTTTTATGGTTTGCTTATTGCTCAGCAGACCTCTCGGTTTGTTTCACTTTTGTAAGCCTTTGGACTTCCCTGCTACTCTATCTGCGTAGTTAAATCCTGTTGGAAGTTAATGCTCCTGTTGGAAGCTTTTTGTTAAGGATGTTGAGGTTGAAGTTTTGCGTTAAGTATCCACAAGTGGATCTATCTGTACTCCGGGTAAACAACAGACTAAACTTTGCAACAGAGACAAAGACATGTGGCGCCAAAGACATCGGTCCAAACCGATAGAAGGTTGTAGTGCCCAAACAAGAAGAATAAGTTTTTCTCCATAAGTTTTTTTTTTCACTCAGATAGAGATTCGCCAGTAGTCACAGTACAACCAAAAGTTCAATTTCAAGT